GTGTGTGTGTGTGTGTGTATAGGACTGCAATTACAGATTGTTGTCATAGATTAATCACTCAACATTTTTTAACCATTAACCATTTAACAGTTTAGTCTATAAAATGTCACAAAAAAGTCTCCAGAGATCAAAGTTACAGTTTTTTTTGTCCACCCAGCAGTTCCAAAACACATTCACCTTACAGACATAAAGAGAGGAATGCTTGAGATTCGCTGACACTTGAAAAGCTGCCAGCAAATCATTTTAATCAACTACTAATCTTAGCTCTAATGTGTTTTACTGTATAAGGTCACTAGTTCTGTCTTATTTTGTCTGTGTTATCTCAAGTCAGCACAGTAGCAGTCCAGACTCTAGAGGTTGGGATCACCGGGTCGTCAGTTTAATCATAAAGTCACTGCAACCTTCTCCAGGGTTGCAGCTCAGTAACCAACCACGTAGCAGCTATATTGACAGCTCCCAGGTGTGCAATGTGAACCAGGGCCCTGCTGGAAAAGAGCAAGAGTGCTCAGTTGTGTTTTCCTGGATGAGTGAATGTTAAATAAAAAAAAAACCCTCCCAGCATGTTTGTCTCAGATAAGCCTCTGTAATTGTAGGCTGCTCTTGCCACTGAGTGTTTGGCCTGTGGTGACAATGGCAGGACACTGTCATTTGTCTCTATGCTCCTTTTTTTGTTTAAATTTCCCTACTCTGCGACGAGCTCATACAAAGCATGAGGATGGTACGGGGGCGATTTGTACAACAGCACTGTTGACTCACTTCCACCTGAAGAAGTGGAGCAGGATTTAGCTTGCTTGCTTATTGCCAAGGAAACCAAAAGTCTTGTGGTTGTGTGCCCAGGTGCTTAATAGTGATAAATGACCAGAGCCGCCGAGGATGTGAAACAGGAACAAAGCAATTATCTCTGTGTAGTTCTGGACAAGACAATAGCATTGGCTTCTCTTGAAGTTTTTTCAGGGTGATTATAATGGTCTAAAACACAGCCTAATATTCTCCATAGATCATAAAAACAATTACATTTGGTGAACAAAGCGTGAGACAAGGGGAGATCGCTTTTTTATCTGAGTAGACACATTTATTGTGGAGCCACTGAAAATGTCATGTGTCCACGTTTCTATCAATGAACTGCTGCTTCACAGAGAGCAGGAAATGCACTTCAATATCTAACACAGTCCTGTGATAATCAAGACACTGCCAGCCTGGCGTCTGCTTCAATGAGACCGAGTTGTGTACTATCTTTTGATGTGTGCTGAGTTTGAGTGTGTGATCATTTGGAGACGAGTCGAAGGTTCGAAGCCAACTCAACTGTTCAGTGTGTACACAGCTGATGCTTCGCTTTACTACCAGATGCTGAAACTGAGCTTTGTTTGCCCGTACATGGATCAGCAGAGTGTGTGTGCCGGGAGTCAGGCTCTGTGCCGCATGTTATAAGCAGGGCTTGTTGCAGGCAAATGACAGATACTCCATGGGCTTCTAATGAAATCAGAGAGCATGTATTAAACATTGTTTTATTGCGTTGACCTGTTTAGCGTCTGTGCTAATCTGATTTGCCCCACAGTTAAATGGCCCTGTACACAGTCACAAAGACGTGATGATATAACGGCATCTGTTACTGTGCGGCTACCAACGGTTGTGTCACATGTCATAAAACATGAGAGGATGTAGGTGTAGATGGATGGTTGGCCTACTTCACGGGTTTGATTTCAATCTTTACTGCCTGTACACACACACACATGCACACGCACACCCACGTTGTCATCTGGACTAGCAGCTGAGAGATTACAGTGTTTGTGGAACTAGAATCATTATTGTTTACCTAAGGATCTTGTCTATGGATTTTTGGCCAAAAGGCAGAGACATGTTCATGTGTATTTGTGTGTACATGTCAATGTGCATGTTTTGTGAGCACCAAGCGTGTATGCATATCGGTCCCTTGTTAGTGTGATGTGCATGTGTTGCCTGCTGACACGGCATCCGTCTCACTAGAAGAGGTTGTCTGCTTGTTTTTATTTTCCCATCATTCAGCAGCTCAACTACAGCCCCATCTGCTTTCTGTCTGCACACTCATGCTACGCACAAAAAACCTCTCCCAATTACAGGAGCTAGCTCTTTTGATTTTCCACTAACAACCTTCTACCAAAGAGACCAGACATCTTTGGGGTTTCTTACGTCTTTGCTCACACACTCAACCTACCATTTTACTCCAGTCCTTCTTTCTCTGCATTCAACTCCTTTTGGTAATACTCATTTGTTGTTAATATAACAGACTGACTGTCTGGTCCAGTTACAGTTGTGATTTACAGTACAGCTATCTTGTGAATGCTGCACATTTATGCTTCTCCGCAGGAATGTCTACATGAGTTTTCTCATTTTTGCTTTTTTAAAATTGTGCTAAAAAAGAGTAAATTAAGCAGTCATCTAGGTAGGTATTGTTCACTTTTAATGAAGATGTTTTCTAAATAGAACTTGCTTGTAGCCATGCCAGAATTTGGGTACAGCTCATGAATAAGGATCATGCAGCATATTGCAATTTAGAATGCCGCTAATATGTTTTGATATTCATTACGTTGTTTTTTTTAGTACACCCCGCAACCTCAACACACAGGTCAGCTTGTCCTTACAGGCTTAGGGTCTTCTCAGGTCCGCTCTGGCATATGGGACATTAAACACAGCACACCTACTGTACAGATGTTAATTGTGCTGAACAGCTGGATGATGTGTGCGGTGTAGAGGTGTGGGGACGCCGATGGCTAACGCTCCCACCATAATACCTGGTCGGAATGCAAATAGACAAAGCCCGAAGCCCAGACTTGGCTGCATTGCAGTTGTTGGAGAATAGATACAATGGGATAGTTCCCTTGCAAATGTGTATTTGCATTCTTATTCTCATATTCAACATACATACTACAGACTAAAATTTGAACATGTATACAAATGTAGATGTGAGTTCACAAGTAAATCAGCACATAGATGTAAGGTTGAACACACAGTATTTAGATATGTACAGTACATGCACTCTCTGTCTCACAATTCAGTGTTCAAATCTGGCTGTGTTGCAGCCACATTAAGCTAAAAAAAGCTAAATTCAACTCATTCACCACCCACCACTCCCTGCATCTCTCTCTCTCTCTCTGCTGCTGCTGCTCTGTGTTGCAATCCCTGTGTACAGTAAGCACCACTGTCCGAAAGAGTACAATCAATATACACTAGATGCATGGTGGGACGGGACAAATTTCTGCTGCAGAGCCCTGCGTGCCAGCAGGGTTTACCAGAAGATTTAATGTATGTAGGAGAAACAATTCATACAGGCACCGGGAGAGATTTAACTGCAGCCTCTCTAAACAGGACACGTGCAAATATTGTTGTATTGTCTCTCACTACTTGGTTAATAATTTATTGATTATTTGCATGTACACTCTCATAGAATAAGGTCTAGTCTAGTTATTGGAATTCAAAAGGCATGCTAAATGGGACTGCAAGGTCAAGAACAAGCAGAATTTTCAATTACCAATTCGAACTGTCAGTCCTTTTTTTCAAAGAGAAAGTGAATTTCAGATTAACTGGTTGGGCTGGCGCCAGTGCAGAGGCTGTTGAATTTGTAATGTTTTTAGCTGTTTGTAGCAACACCAGAGGCTTTTAGCAAAAGTGTTTAACAAAGTGGTGATAATTAGTAGCAAGAGATTTATATAAATTTTGTGTCTCTGCCTCCCAAACACAAGCATGCAGCACATGGCTGACATTTCAGACCATCATATGATAGACTAACAGCCCTGCATCTCAAAAGACAGCCAAGCATCCATCTTCTCTCCTTGGTTGCACACAGGCCTTCTTGTGCTGATGCATCCCAGGTCTGAATAAAACATGAGTGGAAAAATCAGAGCAAAAATAGCAATCTAGGACCCTTACTGGATGCTCCTGCTGCATAAAAGTTCAATCAACCATCAGTGTCACCAGGCCAGAAAACCTTCCCAACCTCTGGAGCAAAATGGTTAAAAGAAAACGACAGGCAGGTGTCTTCTATGAGAGCCTGCAGGAAGCTGCATCTTCCCAGAATCTCTCTTTCTCTCTCTGCTTTCTTTTCATCTCTCTGTCTCTCTCTTTCTGCCACACTTAGAAGTGTCGGAAAGGCTCCTGACTGTGATGTGCTTTTCCACACGCCAGCTGAGAAATAACGCCTATTTCAAAAGCCTCCCAAGCTGAAAAAAGCTGCATGATGATGTGCTTATGGGTCATATTTATAGTAAGAGTGGCAGCACATTGGGCAGAGAGGGGTAAAAGATACCACTGCAATCTGAAAGACAGCATTGCCAAGGAACCAATTATGCTGGAGGAGAGAGCTCCGCCTGAATCACTGTTACTCTCTAATGCTGGTTTTACTGAATTTAAAGCAACATGCAATAATTTCTGTTGGGTACAAGGGTATAAAAATAAGGAGGTAGCACTCTGTTGCCTGAAGAATGGGCGGGTGATATCCCTGATATCTACAGTGACAACAAAATGTATTCTCCGAGAGATAACATCAAGCAGGTGGGGGGACAAACGATGGGCATCTATTAAGTGGATATGATGAATGTCTATAGAATGGCATTTGTTGCTGGCGTCACCAGTGTAGCTCCCATAGTGCACCAGCTCTTAAGGACATTTCTGCTGAGTAAGAGACTTTACAGAGTCAGAATCCGTTCTACACTGCTGCAAACCTGGGACTCAATTCAATCAAAGCTGCATTGCACCACTCAGCAGTCCTTCAAAAACGGAATCCTATTTCTAATGATAAAAGTCAGGATACATTTTGTCTCTTATGCTTCCAAACATGGTCAGTATTTCTATTATTTAAATGACGTGTAGGGAACCTTTTACATTAACAGCTGATGTGTATTATTATACCATATCTGATTAGCTACACCACTCGATGTTTGTCAAACCTCAGTCCATGAGGCATGCTCAAATGTTTTGTCCCAATATAAACCACAAATTAATAATATTCCAGCTTCCATTTTGAAAAAGCATTGTCATTCTGTATTTTTAGAATATAAAAATTTCAGGTTTAGCTGTCATGTTATCCTTTCAATTTTGCTTTTAATCAATGTACAGTAGATATTACTTTTTACGTTATAGTACAAAGCTTAGTTTGTAGTGAAGCTCTTCAGAACAGAGATGTACTGTGTATTCTCTGCACAGAACATTATGGTAAATTATGCCTGCACTTTTCAGACAGTTATGTAAGTCTGTGCAAGAACAGACCAGTAGCCTACAGGATAAATGACTGAGATCTGAAGAGAATAATTCTGTGAAATTAACTGATTGAACCAGGGGACATTTTGCTCCTATCCTTTCCTGACAGATGCAATGTAGAATTAATTCTGTGATCACATTACATAGTAACAGTGTAATAAAATGTTATGTTTGAATACTAATTCAAAAGAAAGAAAACTTGAATAAAAATAAACAGCATTCACTCTATTACCAGTATCTATTTAGGGTTGCAATGAGTTAAATACAGTGTGTCTCTTTAGAAACATTTGTGGAAAAATCTGTGAACAAACTAAAACTAAAATCTTGAGTCCAAAGCTTTTTATGCCTTTATTAAATAATTGCAGTAGAGTTATGACAGGAAATGAGTGGACAGGAATATATGGGGACCGACAAGCGGCTAAGGTCCCTGGCTGGACACAAACGGTGGCTGCAAAACTCACCTTATCTAGAGCTAGTGTTTGGTCTATCCATTCTGGACTACTGTAGAAACATAGCGGTTCCACATGGTGACCCACTCCCTTTGTAGATAAAAGGCTCATTTTAAGGTAATGAAAACACAACAGCTCTTATTTTCAGGTGATTATACACTAATGAAAACATGCCTATGAATATTATATTCCATTTTCTGCCAATAGAGCCTCCTNNCCTCCTAAATGTTACAAGCTGGACCTTAAACCATACCAGACAACGTTACAAATTTAAAATCATGGTTTATGGGGAATTATTCTGTAGTAACGACTGCAATTATGACTCTTTGATATTACATGTTATATAATGCTGAGCTACCTGTGCCTGAGACCAGGAGATATTAGTGTTAACTCCAGCAGGAGGCCAGAGGGGACCTAAGCTCTTTAGCTGATAGTCCACTCCATACTGTGGTGTTCATCAAGAGCGAGCAGGACAGATGGAGGTTTCAGTCAAAGAAAAATCAGAGTGTCTCTGCAGACAGAGACAGCCAGAACATCCCAGAGGAATGGCACAGTCTGCCTACCAGTAAGTATTGCAGAGCCCACTGAAGATTGCTTTCATTTTGTGGGATGTCTTTTCTTTCGAATTTTACTTGCTTGCTGTCAAGTAGCGATTTTATGAGCATATAACCAACCTTATTACATCATAATTAGATTTTGTTTAGCACATCCTGTCCACAGCCCTTTCCAGACTCTAAATAGGAAAGTATGCAGTGTTCCCTTTCCCCTTATTGCGCTGTTCATTAAACAGAACTAAGAGAAATGTCCTTGCATCTCTACTGTGCGGTTATTACAGAGATGTTCATTTCCCCCCCAAAAAAGCTGCTGTCTGTCACCCTCTATCACCTTGCCTGCAACACTGTTTTTTAATTAGCAGACAAAGTGGAAAAACAGACAAAGTGGAAAATAGAGGGTTCCTCTGTGCTCTGCAGAGACAAGGCTCAGTATAGAATTGAGGTCTGATGCTTGAGACAACAGATCTAATGAAAGATTGAACATTAGTTTCATATTTATCCTCTCAAACTTGAAGAGTACAATCATACATACATACATACAATTTCCAATATCGAAATGTTCTGTAGTCCAAAAGTCATTTTCATTTTGACAGCTGGACATGCATTCATAGAAATGTGTTGCATGTTGCCATTTTATGGGATGTGGTCTATGAAATTAAGAATGACTCAACTTATAGATCCTGCACATGAAACAGTTGGATTCTGGCTGATGAAACTGGTCCCTGGAGCACCACTGCTCTCTGGTGGAGCAATGCTTTTTCTGCAGCAGTAGTGCACAAGGTTATGCAAAAGTAACATTTATATCACTGTGAATAGACAACATAACACAACACAAGCAATGTCAAGACATGATCTATAGTCATGGGAAATTTTGACTGCCATTTTTTTACAATTTTGGGGCATTTTACAGACTAATCAGTTAACCAGTGATGAAAATTATCATTACACGTTTAAATACTTGTGTCCAAGTGTCAATCTTTTGATGATTTTATCCAACAGATTAAATGTGAATTCATCAGTAATACTATACAATATTTAAAAATGTAATAATAGTGCATTTTGTTGCCTTTACTTCTGCGAGAGCTTGACCACATTGTGCTCTACTTAAGTAAAGTGTCTGCTGTGCCGATTTAGCTTATTGCTGCACTTGGCATCAGCAGAAGTTCATAATACAGTCTGACATATCAAAAAAACAGAGAAAATCATGAAATTGTTTCAAAAACTTAAATCTCTTTAATCAAATTGTTTGTAACACTTTGCAGAAAACAAGAACAGACAATTTTTTTGTCTATCTGTTACTCTCTAATGCTGCTTCTTCCATGATCAAATTTCTCAATGAATTGGTTGATAATTTGGTCTATAAACATTAGAAATGAGTGAAAAATGTCTGCCACTGTTTCCCAAAGCCCAAGTGGACATTTATGGAGTGCTTGTGTTGTCCAACCACCAGTCCAAACCCAAAGATATTCAGTTTATAATCATACAAAACAATGAAGAGCATCCAAATCCCCACATTTATTAAGATAATCCCAAATGTTTCCCATTAATTTTCTGTTGACAAATCGTTTCAGCTCCACTCCCATCAAAATAAATGTCTGAACAAAGTTTTAAACAAAGTTTATTAATTAACTATGCATTATGTGTCTTCTGAGTTTATTTAAGCATGTCATTAAGCATAACAGATGTTACAGAACTATAGCCCTGGGAATGTAAGTTTCACCAGTTATTCTTTCTGTGCAATTTTTGTCAGATTGGATTCATACAAAATTATCCAAATTGTGAGTCTGTCTCCTACTTCTATCAGACAGCATTTTGCTCCTTATAAACATCAGCACATTTAAGAAAAGACTTTGATTTGACACACTGTTGTCTTTTTATTGTCACTGAATGAAAATCATTCACAATATCAGACAAAATGTTGTAGTTTATTTACACATGTGTAGCTTAATTATAAAAGTCATCGTACATATTGAGACATAGTTGATGACAGAGCTTATGGTACATGTATGTTCTGTATAAAGTGGTAGAATGTAGTATTTCACATTAATCGTGAAACGTTTAAACATGGTAAAATACATAGGCTGTTACATAGTGCACAACCAGCATGAAGTTACAGGCATGCCTTTTCTCTGTGCTCCCTAAGGCGAGACTTTCTCGTGAATGTTTTGCCACATCTTGGACACGTGAATGGCCGCTCCCCTGTGTGAACCATCATGTGTTTTTTCAGCTCATTGTTTAACCTAAAGGCTTTGCTGCATATCTCGCACACGAACGGCCGCAAGCGCATATGTTTGGCCCTATGGTGAGCCATCAAATGCGATTCCCTCTTGTAACACACGCCGCAGTCTTCACACTTGAACGGCCTTTCCTCTGTATGTTGAACCATGTGAAGCTTGAGCTGAGCCGCACTCGGCCAGCCTTTCCCACATGTGTCACAAAGGTACGGCTCTTGCCCCGTGTGTTTGTACAGATGCCATTTAAGGTATGTTTTTTGAAAGAATTTCTTCCCGCACACTGGGCACGGGTAACCGCCTGTGTGCCTCACCATATGCGCTCTCAGGTAGTCTTTTGTACTGAACTGTTTCCCACAGTCGGAACAAACGCTAGGCTGCCGTTCTCTGTGCTTTCTCTGGTGCAGGACCAGATGAGCAAGATATTTGAAGCTTTTCCCACAGGTCTCACAAATGCGCGGTGTCACGCTTGCAGTGTGTACTTTTTCGTGATCATTCAGTAGTCCTGGCTTTGTGTAACATTTCTTGCAGACGGCGCACTGGTACAGTTTTTTGTTTTGCTGATGTCGAACCAATTCGCACAACCTCACAAAAGTTCTCTTGCATAAAGGACAGGGGTATGAGCCTCGGACTTTATGTGACTGGGAATAATGTCTTTTCATGAGGACGATTTCTGAAAAGTTCTTCTCGCACATGGTGCACTTGATGGTGCGAGACCTAGCCTGCGAGTCGTATGCGTGGTCTGCAGAGGTTGGAGTTTTTGCTGTTTCTGAACTTGCTTCGGCATGGCTCCCGTTGGTATTATCAGCTGGTCGTAAATTACATGCATTGATAACGAAAGGGTTCGCGTTTGTTCTTTTTTTCCTTCGAGGAGCTCTTTTGGAGCATTTGTTCTGGTGCTTCTCGAAACTCTTGTAGTAAGTAAAACTCTGGCCACATTCCTGACACGTCAGAGGTGATCTACACAGCTGCATATCCTGCGAGTTGGCGGCTGTATCTGTGATTATCGGGACTTCACCCATACCACTTGAAACTGTATTCTCCTGATTCCTTTTATTTGCGTTACTCAGGGAATTGTCCTGTGAATGCTCGTTTGAAAGTCTGCATTTATCTTCCTGGTGTGTCTCACAGTCTTCAGAGTTGTCAAAGTCTTTCCCGCAGTAAGGACAAAGGTAAGGACTCTGCTCAGAGTGGGATGTCATGTGCCTCATCAAGTCAGTAGAACAGGTAAATATTTTCCCACATACGGAGCACTGTTTGACACGCCTGCTTCTTTTACGTGTTTGCTCTTGGGGTGAGTCCGGAGATACGGATTCCCAGGGTGCAACGTTTGAAGGCCCACTGGGGAGAGACTCTTTGGCCTTGGGAACTGGGTTTAGTTTGGAGTGATGAGCCAAGCTTGTGGAACACTGTGGGTCTGTCTCTGCTTGTCGTTTACTACCGACCACACAAACCCTCTGGTGTTTGTCAAAGTTCTTTGGGTAAGTGAAAACCTTCCCACAAATATGACAAACGAGACTACAGGCATTAGACTGCTCAAAGTTCGGAAGACTGTTCAAATTGGATGGGTTATGTGTTGTGACACTTTCTAAAGATGAAAGCTCAGTCTTGCTTCTACAAGCATTATTCACAATACAAGTCTTTGGTTTAGGGTGTAAATTTATCTTTTCAAAAAAACTACTTTGGCTTGCGGACTGACTCATTCTTTTTGTAAAGCAACCACTATGGGTAATCTTGTGCTTCTTTAGTTTGTTAAGGGAACCGAAATCTTGGCCACAAACAAGACACTTGAAGGTTTTGGCTGATGTCCTACTGCCAGTTTTCAAATGTTGAAAGGATTTTTTGTCCGTGCCGTCATCATCGTTCGACTCACTTTCATCAAAAGGTTGAAGTATTACTTCAACAGAAGCTCCCTGGTCTTCAGTCGGATCATCAACATGCTGCTGTCCGTTTCTTTCCACACTGCTAAGCAATTCTGACTGTATCTCCTTTTCTTCTTTATCCTTCTTTGACTCACTGTCAAATAAGTTATCTCTCTGTCCATCTTGTAAGACACACGTGGATCCAGATTTGACAAGTGTGTCTCTTTTGTCATCGTCCACATGACACGTTGGTAGGTGATAGGACAGGCTGGAGAGGATGCAATCATCACCAGAGGAAGATAAAGCTAGACAAGAAAAGTGACAAACACAAATTATTTTCAATAACTAAAATGTAAGAAACATTGATACAAAATACAAGAATTGTGTGGAAAATTGAAGTACTACCTTGTGAAGTGTTATGCCCATGATGTCTGTGATGCTGAATGAGTGTATTCAGGGGCTCAGGTTGATTCATGAAGTCTACACACTCTTTTAAGATAGGTGGGGAGAGACTGAGCCAAAGGGAAGTCTGGCAATGGAACAGAACAGTTCAAATCAACTTCTGATATTATTATATAACTACACACTTGCATCTCAGGAGATATATTGTATAATTTATTTTTTATTGTAACAGCAGACCTCAAATTTCCTTGTGCACATTTACATCACTTAATTATTTTCTACATTTCCCAGAATGTCTCTCAACATCTCCCAGAGAAGGGAAACGGGTCATTGTAAATTCCTCTTCTAGTAACCGCAATTATATGCATCAGTGTAGATTTGATTACTTAACAAGTTCATAAAGGCAGGAAAACTAATATAAAACTTATTCCACACACAGTTTTACATGAAGGTTACAAAACTAATTTTCTTAAAACCCTCCAGCACACACCTAAGTTACTTAATTTTCTACTTATGAGAAGAGCATATCAGGAGTATCAAGTTACAACCAATTGAGGAGGAAAATTTTACAGTTACTTGCTAACCAAATGAGAGGTGCCCCCCTGCTGGTTGTGTCCCTTTCATTCTCAAATGTAAATTCATATTGTCTCCTGTCCCCTTGACCAAACCCCCACACCTACCTTTCCTGTCCTTTGTCTCCATCACCTTTGTCTGACCACTACCTTTTG